GAACTTTTAGACAACAAAAAGAAGTCAAAGGAAAATAGTTGGGTGGGTGGGTGGGGGAGTAAAAATCTCATTATTCACAGATGGCATGACTTTCAATGTAGAAAACCCCAAAGACTCAACAAAATATTGTTGGAAATAATCAAAATATTTGGAAATGTGGCACGATACAAGATTAACATGCAAAAATCCATCAGATGCCTGTATACTACTGGAAAGAGCTCCGAAGAAGACATCAAGAAGACAATACCATTTACAATAGCCACACACTGGATGAAATGCTTAGAAATAAACCTAACCAGAAAGACAAAAGACTTGTACAAAGAAAACTACAGAACCCTTGTACAAGAAACAAAAACAAAGAGACCTACACAAAGATAAGAATAGTCCATGTTCATGGATAGGAAAACTTAATGTAGTGAAAATGTCAATCCTTCCCAAAGCAATCTATAAATACAATACAATTCTGATCCAAAGCCCAACTTCACTCTTTAAAGAAATGGAAAAACTAGTTACAAACAGCACATGGAGCGAAAGGATTATCAAGGAACTCCGTAAGAAGGAGAACAAAGTAGGAGAATCCTCACTACCCAACCTCAAAAATCTGTTACATAACAGCTGTTGTAGTTGAAACACCTCGGCCCTGTTACAAGGATAGATACATAGACCGATGGGGCAGAAAATAAAACCCAGAAATAAATTCATTCATGTACAGGTAACTGATCTTCGACAAAGGGCCAAAAAAATATTAAACGTGAAACAGATAGTCTCTTCAACAAATGGTACTACACATTTTTAAATTGTATATGTATTAAAATAGTGGGGCGGGGGATGTCTAATACTTATATGTTCATACTTAGACTTCAGAAATGGAGAAAAAAACTTTTAAAAATCAATGTTTGTGTTATGAAACCCTGCAAGGCCATTAATAGTAGTTTACTTTGATACTAAAACATTTTAGCAGTGAAAAAAATTCAATAAAATGCTGCAAAGGACATAAATAGACATTTTACCAAAGACATAGAGAGGCTGACAAACATATGGAGAAATGCATGTGATCATTAGTTATTTAAGAGATACAAATTACCCCAGCATTAATCATAAAATTAAAAAAACACAAACAAGAAATAGCAAATGCTGGTAAGAATATGGAGAGATTGAAACTCTTCTTTATGTACAGTGAGACTATAAAATGGTACAATTAGCATGGAAAATAGCATTGCATTTCCTTAGAAAGTTGAAAATAAAAATGTCATATGACCCAGCAATCCTTCTACTTGGTACATCTCCTAGAGAATAAGAGTCAAGACATGAACCGATATAAGCAAACCTATGTTCAGTGCAGCACTATTCACAGTAGCAAAAGAAGGAAACAATCTAAATGCCCATCAGGGGGGAAAGGGTTAAACTGTGGTACATAAAAGGGAATACAATGCAGTCTTAATAAATAATGATACATTTTTGAAACACTTCAGAACACGGATGAACCTGAGGACATTATGCTGAGTGAAATTAGTCAATCACAAAAGGACAAAAATTGCATGAGAATGATATTGT